TATCTATCAGCAGCCAATCAGAGAAGTAAAATGGATGGTGTTTTCAGCTGCAGGGCTTCTGCAGATAAAACCTGCTGTTGTTAAAGGAAGAAATTACTCTTGCCTGATGCACACTGTTGTCTTTGAGCTGAGCACCCGGCCTTTGACACAGCTCTGACAGCACTGCTGATTACAGTTTGGACCCACATAGACAGGAGATAGCAAGCAGAGCAGAGGTCTTTCTTTGAGCGAACTGTTAAAGTGGCAATAATCAGCCAGTCATTACAAATGCTTAGTGGGGGGATGGGGAGTGGGTGGGGATAGAGACAGAGAAAGAAAAAAGAGAGGGAAGGGGGCATCCCCCTCATTTTGCACTTGTCATCTTTAGCCATTTGTATTTAATGAACCCCTTGAATACAGCTTAAATTACATGTCAAATGAGGGACAGAGTTAGCTTACACTTGAGTGGTCCAAAATAATAAAAAAAAAAAAACCCTACCCTGAAGATGAAACAATAATTACTCTGGAAATTGTCATCCTGGAAGAGTAGGGAGGAGTTGGCAAGGGCTCTGAAGAATATTAGGATGTTAAGAGATGCTTTGCTTAATCACACAAAGGCCTCTCTAGCTCAGCTGTACTCATGTCTTGTTTCCTGTTAATCTGCGCTCTCCTTTCATATATGACATTTGGCCATGCCAATGAAAAAAAGGAAATGTCCTTTTGGAGCTAGTTTTCCTAAGCCAGGGTTTCCTAGAATTCCTTTTGGGGGAGGAAGAATTCTCTCCCTATCTGTTAGGGAGACCTAGTTTATCTTCTTTGATGCCACTGTGCACTATAGGGGATTCTGGGTAAGTTACAGGACAGTTTATATGGAACATCAGCAGACCTGTTTGATAGTGTACTTACCTTGCTGTGTGATGGGTATAAAGCAGATAGTTACAGAGCTTTGTTATCATTACTGATCTTCAGAGGCAGTTCTTTAGATAGAACAAATATAGGCAAACATCCAGCCTGTTATCTCAAATCTGATGTAAAGTAAGGGCTAGGCCCAGTGTAAAGTGGTCACACAGGCAAGTGAAATCATGTTGAATCTCATTAGTCTGATACTGGAAAGATTTAAATATAAAAAATTATATCTGAGATCAAGATCTTTAACAATAAATAAATGGAGAGGAATGTCTTTTTGTATTGCTATTATAGAATAATTTAGAGTTGGAAATCACTGAAGATAACTTGCAAGTCATATCTCTCAATTGTTTGCCAGCTTTGCTATAGACCACTGTTAAAAATCCTCAGATTAACATGTAAACGAATTTATTGACAATTCATAGAAATAGTAAGTGTACCCAGTATTTAATAATATAAAATATGCTAGGGCTCAAATGCATTACTTAAACAAGATACTAAGCTTGATTAGAACTTTTAACATGCAGTTAAATGATATTTTAGAGGCCATCTAAATATATTTAAGAAGCAATAATAATTAGAGTCAGGTTTATTTCTGAATATATGATTTTGCTTCTAAAATGGATAAACATATTGGAAAAATAAACAGATCCTATATAGTAATTATTAAATGCTCAAACAAGCACATAAAGTATTTCAAACACTGTTAAGTTCTGTACAGGTAGTCCTAAACTTGCAACCATTCATTTAGTGACCAATTAAAGTTATGGCAATGCTCAAAAAAAGTGACTTACAACCAGTTCTCGCACACATGACCATTGTGGCATCCTCATAGTCGTGTGATCCAAATTTGGGCACTTGGCAACCGGTATGTATTTATGACAGTTGCAGCATTCTGAGATCATGTGATTATCATTTGTGACTTCTGAGAAGCAAAGTCAATGGGGGAAGCCAGATTCACTTAATGACCATGTGATTTGCTTAAACATGGTATGATTCACTTAACTGCAGCAAAAAGATGGTAAAATTGGGTGTGACTCACTTAATGACCATCTCACTTGGCAATAGAAGTTCCAGTTCCATTGGTCTACTTGTAATATATAAAGTATCTCTTGATGTTCTTATGAGGAAGCCAGTCAAATATGTTCTGGAGGGCGTGATAATTAAGTGGATAAGACAACAGGCTAGAAAGCAGGAGACCATGAGTTCAAATCCTGCCTTAGCCAAGAAAACTAGCTGGGTGACTTTGGGCCAGTCACTCTCCCTCAGCCCAATCCATCTTCACAGAGTTGCTGTTGTGAGGAACACAGGAGGAGGAAGATGTGTTGGATATGTTTACCACTTTGGGTTGTTTGTAAAAATAATTAAGGCAGAATACATGTAAATAATTGTGTTCAGAATAACTAAATAGCTGAGTGATTATTTAGAAAACTCAAGGAAAGTATGGAGAGAGAAATCCCAATTCTCTGTCTTGCACTCTTCAACATTTGTATTGATGTGTTTGATGAGGAGATAGATGGAATATAATATATTTATTAAAAAAGTAATCTGGAATAATACCGTATGTGCCGGCGTATAAGGCGACTTCCGCGAGTGCTAAAATCGGCGCCAAAGACGGGGGTCGTCTTATACGCTGAGTCGTCTTATACGCCGGAAATACTGGTAGTTTCCGGCGTATAAGACGACGTTCTAGGAATGCGGCCCGGCGATAAAGACGGGGCCCGGCGATAAAGACGGTAATTGATAGCAAACTGAATAAATATATTCCTTCAAAAAAGGCAAATGCGGTTTTAGATTGCATCAACAGAAGCATAATTTCTAAATCAAAGGAAATAATTACATCCATTTTATTTTTTTTGTTGGTCAAGTACTACTTCCAGTTCTGTGCATTAAGTAAAATTCAGACAAATTATTTCAGATTCAGAGAAGGGCAGCCTTAATGATTGGACTCTTGGAAGTCAGTCTTAAAAGAGGGATTAAAGGAACTAAGAATATTTATCTCTGAGAAGAGAACACCACAGACAGTTATAGTAACCATTTTCAAATATCTGAAAGGATGTCACACAGGAGAAGATCAAAATCTTTCTTTTTTAACCCAGAAGGATTGATGATTTCAAGTTACAGAAAGGCATGTTCTAGTTGGTGGTTAGGAAGAAAAATTATACCGGTAACAGTAAGAGGAGTGGAATCGGTTACCAGGTGGACTCTTTTTCATTTTATGTATTCAAACAGAGGCTGGACTATCATCTGTTGGAGATGCTTTAATCTGGAGGGTTACTGGAAATTTAGCAAAAGGAGGATATCTCCTCCGTCCAGCAGACATAGCTTTAAAATCAAATATTATGTTTTTTTAATATCTTTTTTTTAAAATATGGTCTATTTTCAAAACAGTAGATATTCAAGCTTTCATGTATTGTGACTTTGTATATTGTCTGTTTCTTTCTTTCTCTCATCCATCAACAGCTTAGATTTGCATTATTTAATTTATTTCCTGATTCCAGCAACCGGCTTCAATTCACCACTTCCCATCTATGACCACTGTGGTTGATTCTGTCACAAGAATCATTATTAAATATAACATGAAAAATATTATTTGTGAGAAATTCCACTCACATATTGAAAATTAAATATTTGTTGGAGAAATGTAAGGATTGAAAACCAGTCTTGGATGCTGGAGTGATTTCATCTCCCCCTCCCTCCTCCCTCCCCCTCCCCCTCCTCCTCCCTCCCCCTCCCTCCCTCCCCCTATCTCTGTCTCCTTCCCTCTCCCCTCATTTGAAGTTTTTTTTTGCTTTTGTAGGAAAGTAGACTAGTTATGTGTCCCGTCCCTCCCCCTTCCCCATTTGTCCTCATTTGCAGTTGTCTGTGACTTCCTTTGCTGGTTCAGATATCTGTAACCCTAAGTGAGCAGGACATTAAACTTGATGGCCTAAATCAGTAAAGTCTTATTATTTTAAAGACAATAAAATAAAGATATTGGATGTTTGATAATTACATTAATTTTATTCAGCCATAGATAGCTTTTCATGACACATTTATACAGCTAGTCAATTTCTTAAGGGATGTTGTATTTAGTCAAAAATGAAGCAAAATGTTTCATATTCTATGGAAGTGTTCAGATATGACTTGCTTAATATCTACATATGGTCCTTGACTTATGACTGCAATCGGAACCAGAATTTGGTTTCAAATTGTTAAGATCCTAAATTGAGGCATCCACATGACCAGAAGTGATTTTACCACCATTTTTGCTATGGTTGTTAAGCAAATACCATAGTCCTTAAGCAAGTGCCAGTCATTAAGTGAATGTCACAGTCATTAAACAAATGCTAGTAGTTGTAATTTATTTATTCATTCATTCATTCAAATGGACTGTTTTCACCAGAAATCAGAAAAAAAGGGCTAGAAACCAGCAAAAAACTGATCATGAATCAGTCACATGACTGCAAAATGTTGCGACTAGTCATAAATGTGACCTCTTGCCAAGTGCCTGACTTGTGTCCCATGACCATGGGAGGCAGTGCAACCATTTACCAAAGCTGGGGGGTTTCTATACTTGCTATAAAGTACTGGTTCCGTTGGAATCATAAATGTGAATGGTGATTAAGGAAACAGTTGTTAAGTTGAGGACTAGCCATATTGGTAACATAGTATAGAGCAGGGGTCCCCAACTCCCAGGCTGCAGACCAATACCAATCCCGCCAGGAACTGGGTCACGCAAGGGAGCAAAGTCCCATTCGTGCATGCACGGAATCCAAGCAACGCATGAAACCACAATCAGCCTGGTCCGTGGAAAAACCACGGAACCAGCTTCCAAAAGGTTGGGGGCCCCTGATATAGAGCTTAGAAGGATGACTAGTAAAATCCTTTTTTACAACTGATGACTTTACAAATAAATTAATCTCCTGTCTGCCAGCAGCGTACATGCTAATGGAGGCACAGTAGGACCACTTAAACTTTCTAGGAAACTATTTAAAGGGAACGGACAGCTGCATCACGGAAAAGAACCTTGTGAGTTTGAAGCTGTGATGCTTTGAAGTGTTTTCAATAACTTGAAAGGGGGTGTTTAAAAATAGTACCCAAAGCTAAGAGTGTACCTTTTTTCTCTGTTTCAGGTTTTAATAGCTGATGACTACTCTGATCCATTTGATGCCAAGAGTGAAGTCAATAAAATGGGCAAAGGAGAAAACACTGGCTACATGGAACCATATGAAGCTCAGAGGATCATGACAGGTAAGACGGTCACAAGGAGCATCTATAGGGCTGTAGAAGCCACCTTTCTATCTGTCCTATTTCCCTACAACTGACCTTTTAGTAGGGTTAGTAAGAGCAGTATTTAAGGCTGACATATCTTCTGTGTTTAGTGTTTATTAGTGAATTAAATTATTATTCTCAAACATCAATATGTCCTTTTGCTTTTCCTGTTAATCTGGAGTGTTTCAATTTATGTTTCTAAATAATACTTCCATTTTTTTCCCATTCAGGAGTCTTTATTTTGCATTTGCTATACAGCGTATGTGTGAATATATGCAGTCTTAATTGCTTGATGTTGTTTTTAAGGTTCCACAAATAGGTTCTTTTTTTTTTAAAGTCTAATGCAGAATCTTTTCATTCGCTATAGATAATGACACTTAATGACTTGCACTTCTGTTCTTCAAATGTTAATTATCGCTCTGAATAAAAGATTCATAATAAACACAATGTAAGAAAAGCCATAAGAGTTGCATTGCTAATCATGATGTACATTAACAACCATGTCAGACAAGACAACAGCTGTAAATTTGTTGCCATTTTTTGAGATTTAGGCAAGTTAGCTGCGCAGCTGATTTATATACAGGGCTGTAGGGCTCTTTGGTATAAAGGCATAACCGTTTCTAAAAAATCCATGGCAATTGATGAACAATTGCACTTTCCACTAAAAGATTAAAAGTACACATATTCCCCAAAGGATAGGCATATATTCTGGGCTTATAATGTCATGCCCCTGAGCACTAACTCCCCAGAACAAATGATTTGTTAAAAATTTATTGACCGAGACTTAGCAAAGAAATTTCACTTGGGTGCTTACATTCTAGAGCACCACCAAACTTACCTTGTTTGGAAAACTAAATTAGGATAAGCTGCCCTTCTACACTGAGACCCTTTGCTGTTGCTACAGGAGTATAACACTTAGGAACAGATCAATTTCCAGGGATCCCTAAAAATGTAAAAAAAAGAAAGAAAGAAAAAACCATTTATATTAATGAAATAGGTATTGCTCATTTTAAAAATTAAAGAGTTTGAATGGTTTTATGTTGCTGTTCAGAATGCTTTAAACAGGCATACTGTATAACTACCTTGAACCTGAAATTTCTACTTGTACATGTTCTTTTTTTTGCCCTGTTAACCAAATGTGCAATTTTTAATAGCTAACATGATAGGGGAATTCTCAGATCTACAAGTATTGTTTTGATGTGTCAGTTTGTTCTTTTCAGTAGATCTTGTGGGCTCTTGTAGCTAACCTTTACCGTGCCCTGTCAATATATATATTTAGTTTGCTTAAGATGGAAAAACTGGGAGACTTCTGTTAACCTCAGCATTTTGTAATTAACATTGTTCAGGGCAGTGTAATCAATTCTATGCTGCAGGATCATTAGAAAGGAACATTAAACAACCTAAACAAAATATTGACTTGAAATTTAGAACTATTTTATCAAAAACCTATTTATTCAGTTAATTTTTCATATTTCTACACTTTGATCAAAGTGCCTGGAAGGAGAAATGGTGAAGATACAATGAAGCACCAGCTGCTCCATGGTTATAGATAGAAATTTCTCATCTTTTGTGAAAGATTAGTACATACGTAGACATCTGTCTTACTATCTTCTACACTCTTCTTCAAAGGGAATTTCCCATTAAACAAAATAATAATAATAATAAATTATTATTATTATCGATCATCGCACAGTCAGCCAGATGTTCAGACTGGATTTGGCATTTTGTCTACCTATCGAGTCCTTACCCAGGACCTGGGATAGGCAGATGTGGATGTTTGATGGTATTACAGATATCGTCGCAGGATGGAAGCAGTTCCTAATAAGGCCGCCTTTTGCAATTGACTAATAGCGAATTTGTCAATGCCAATGGTGTTCAAGTGGTGCTCCAGTTGTTTTGGGATTGCACCCAAGGAGCCTATGACTATTGGTACTACCCTTGCTTGCTTTTGCCACAGTCTTTCTATTTCTATTTGTAGGTCTTTGTATTTTGTTATCTTCTCCAGTTCTTTCTCTTCTATTCTGCTATCTCCAGGCACTGCCACGTCCACTATCCAGACTTTTTTGTCTTTCTTATCGACAATTGTTAAGTCTGGGGTGTTATGTTGCAGGTGCTTGTCTGTTTGAATTCTGAAGTCCCAGAGCAGTTTAATTTTATCATTTTCTATGACTTTCTCTATTTTATGATCCCACCAGTTTTTGCTTACAGGCAAATGATATTTTTTGCAGATCTTCCAATGTACCATTGTTGCTACTTTGTCATGCCGCTGCTTGTAATCAGTTTGTGCAATCTTCTTGCAACAGCTTACCAAGTGGTCCACTGTTTCTTTAGCTTCTTTGCATAGGCGGCACTTACTGTCTGTTGCTGTCTTCTCAATTTTGACTTTGTATGCATTTGTCCTTAAGGCTTGGTCTTGTGCAGCCAGAATTAGTCCCTCGGTCTCTTTCTTCAATTTTCCTGCTCTTAGCCATTGCCAGGTTTTATTATTATCTGCTTTCCCAGCTATTTTTTTAATGTATTGGCCATGTAATGCTTTGTCTTCCCATGCCTCTATTCTGTTCTTCATTTGGTCTTTCTTTTTTTTTTTTTTTATTGAAAATTTTTAAATTTTTACAAAAACAAATCCCCTTCCCATACCCCCCCCAACCCTACCTCACCCCCCTCCTCCCCAACCTCCCAAACCCTCCCCTAGACTTCCCAGAGCTGAATACAGGCTTAATTGAGAAAAAAACTTAAAACACTTTTAAAACCTAAACAAATTTAAATACAATCATCATTCTATATAAACTCCCTCCAAAAACGCAAATTTAAACATTACTTTCTTTGAATATCTATAGCTATAATGTAAAATCTAATTTCTCCCTCTTTCTTTATCCTAATACAAAAAGATAAACATATAAACCTTTGTTGTACCATTAAAACTAAATACTCTTAGAAAACTTAAAGTAAATACATATTTCCTTCAATCTTCATCATCTTCTCACCTATCCAAAAAAAAAAAAAAAACTTAAAAATCCTAAACAAATCTAGACACATTTAGTTAAACAAATTATTTTCTCTTAAAAATATTAATAATAATATTTAAAAGCTTGAAACACTTTTAAATCCTAAACAAATCTAAATACAATCATCATTCTATATAAACTTTCTCCAAAAACACAGATTTAAGCATTACTTTCTTTCCTAAACAAATCTAGACATTTAATTAAGCAAATTATTTTCTCTTAGAAATATTAATAATAATATTTAAAAACCAAATTTAAGCATTACTTGAAACTTAAACAAATTATACTCCCTTCGAAACACAAATTTATTAGAATCCCCTCACTGAAATAAACAAATTATAATCCCTTCAAAACACAGGTTTAAACAATATTATCATTAAAGGTTTAAAACTTAAAACTGAAATATATTATTATCCCAAAACACATATTTAGACATTACATAAGACATTATCCAAAAACGATATAAGTTTTACTTCTCCCACAATCTCAATAGTAAACTTCTTGTCTAAAGTTCTCATTCAATGTCCATAATTTTCTGTCCAATAACCAGTTGCACCCACTATAAACCCAAACTTCTTATCTAAAATTTTCATTCAATATCCATAATCTTCTGTCTAATAGCCAGTTGCATCTACTATAAGCACAATCCATATTGGTCTCTCTTGCCCGCAAGCATCGAAAAAATTGCGTGGAATTCTGCCCTTGAAGATCGCTCCAAAGAGTTTGTAAGTCCTGGTTGACCCACCAGCTCAGGAATCAGTACCTGTGAAACTTCCTCAACCTCCGTCTTCTGTTGGTCTTTCTCTTTACATTTATATGTTACTTTTTCTTTACATTTATATGTTGCACAAGTCTCAGGGACCGATACCTGTAAAACTTCCTCAGTGAATTCCTCCTGGTGTTGATCTTCACAGTTGTAAGTTGTACAAGTTATCCTCTGCCCGTTCCTCTCTTGTTGGTGCCCCTCAAGCTGAAATTTCCCAATTTCGATTTCAGGCAGCAATTCCACCCTTGAAGATTGCTCCAAAGACTTTGTAGGTCTAACTTCTCCCAGAGCTACCCTTGAAGATTGCTCCAAAGACTTTGTAAGTCCAACATCTCCCAGAGATTCAGAGACCGCTGAATATGAAACTTCCTTAATTCATTTGGTCTTTCTTGTAGGCCAGTTTGGTCTCTCCAGTAGTTAGTAAGCCTTCCTGATATACTAATTTCAGTGCATCTTCATCATTGTTCTTCAGATATTCTTCCAAAGCCATTTTTTCTTCTTCAACCATCTGATGTACTTGTAGCATTCCACGCCCACCTATTTGCCTTGGTAGATAAAGTCTATCAATGTCACTGCGTGGATGAAGGGCATGATTCATTGTCATTATTTTTCTGGTCTGCCTATCCATTGCTTTTAGTTCTGCTTGAGTCCAGTCCACTATTCCAGCTGTGTACCTAATGACTGGGATTGCCCAGGTGTTGATTGCCTTTATGGTATTTCCTCCATTGAGTTTGGATTTTAAGATCTTCTTCACTCTCTTGATGTATTCACCTCTAATCTTTTTCTTGACTTCAGTGTGCTTGATGTTGTCAGCTTGAAGGATACCCAAGTATTTGTAGTACTCTTCCTCATCCAGACTCTTAATGTTATTTTCGTGGGGCATCTTGATTCCTTCAGTTTTCACTATTTTTCCTTGTTTGATAGTAAGTGTGGCACATTTGTCCAAGCCAAACTCCATTACAATATCTTGGCTATATATACGGACAGTGTTGAGCAGCGATTCTATTTCAGATGATGTTTTTCCATACAGCTTCAGATCATCCATGTAAAGGAGGTGGGATAGTCTGGCAGATGTTTTTGATGTTTGATAGCCATGTCCTGAGTTATTCAGTATTGTTGACAGAGGAAACAGTGCAATAACAAATAGTAATGGTGATAATGAATCTCCTTGAAATATTCCTCTCTTGATATTAACCTCTCCCAGCCTC